ATTCTTTAAATTCAAACCTAAGTTGTTTGTTTGTGATCAGTGATAAGAATTGCTTTAGTAACAAAATGAAAGAGCTTTCAAAAATCTCTTGACTCTGTATTACTTATTTTACCTCCTTTTCTAACATTGGAGAGAGGACCCCTACAGCAAGATTCCTTAGAGATTCAGCCCAGGGATATGTTTCATAGAAATAGCTAAGCACCTTTGTGAAGTTGCTACTTTGTGAAAGTTGTGAAGTCATGCCATCCTAGAATTGGAAAGGCTACTCTTGGTGTTAAGTGAAAGCCCACATGGTCACTTTCTCAAGGAAGCCTCCCCTGAACCTCCAGACCACATCAGGGCCCTTGACAGTTGCTCTCATAGCACTGTTTGCTTTTCCTTCAGAGTACTTATTGCAATTGAATTAAAATGAATGTCTGTCTCCTCTACTAGAACGTAGGCTCCTGATCATGTCTTGCTCATCACTTTCTCCCTTAGTGTCTGGCATAGTTTAGGGCACGTAGTAGATCCCAATAAATATTTGTTGAACAAATGAAAAGAACCAAGGCTACACCTTGTGGAATTACTTGCCTTAAGAGGATGGGAAGAGGAGTCCAAAGACACAAAAGAAGGACTGGCTAGAAAGGTACCATCAGTATAGCACAGTGTCATGGAAGCCAGAAGAAGAGTCGCAATAAGGGAGGACCAATACTTACTTTCTCACCACTGCTTATCCTTAATCCCCTACAGTCTGACCCAGCCCCCATCGCTGCACTGAAACCATTCTTTCGGAAGTACCCCCTGACGTCCTAGTTGCCAAGGCTAGTGGCCTTGTCTAACTCATTGTCTTCCTCATTCCTTGTGCACCATTTAACATCATATCTTCTTTCTTAAAACCCTCCTGTCCGTTTACTTTCCTGACCTTGTGCTCTCTCCGTTTTCTTCTCTGGCTGCTCTTCTGCTTTCTGTTTTGGTTTGTCTTTCTACCTCCCCAACATGTGGTGCCTGAAATCCCGTCATCTGCCCTCTTCTCCCCTCTCTCCACACTCAGCCCCAGGATGTCCAACCCCTCACTGTTCTACAAGAGAAAGTTTCCACGTGTCTCTCTCTGCCCTGAACTTCAGTCTTTCTGGACACCTCCACATGGGTAGCCTTTGAGTCCCTCACACTCAGTGTGCTCCACATGGAATGTGCTGTCTCCTGCAGTGTTTTCTTCCTCCCTGCTGCTGTCTTACAGTACTACTGTGCCCTCAGTCATCCAAGAGTAATATGACAGCCTTATTTTAAATTTATTTTTCCCCCAACCTCTACCTTGTATCAGATCAGTTGTAAAGTCCAAATCGTCTGCCTCTGCAATTTCTTTACCACACCCTTCTTCAGTTTCATGAGTCCGGGCTTTTGTTACCTGTTAACCTAAACTGTGTAACCCTCCTAGCTGATTGTTCCACCTTCCATCTTCCCCGACTGTGCTCTGTTCTGTACATATTGATACCAGTGCAGTATCAGCAGACCTAGGCTCAAATCTTAAGAGCTTAGGTGTTTAATAGCTGTGTTCCTTTGGAAAAGTAAGTTTAGCACCGCAAGCGTCATTTGTAAATTAAGGATTTGGATTTTTTTAATGCAATAATATATATTAAACGGCAGTTGAATGAGCAGCCAGGCTCAAATTCTTAGGAAACTTTCCACACACCACTCAATAACTCGCATGACCCCCTGGTAAGTTAAATAAGTAAGTCTTGGTGTAGTCATGGTGTTCTGAATAAAGCAAAAGTTCACGCTTGGCATTCAAGGGCCTTCGTGAACTGGCCTTGAGCTACTTAGCATTCTGACCTTTCATTTTTTCCCTTGCATATATCCTATAACTTAAACCATGATAACCTTGAATTTGCTTCTTTAGGGTCCCTACCTCTTTAGCTTTCCTGCCTCTAGTCCTTCACTCAGAAATCCTTTCTTTACTGTCTCTGTATATCCAGATCCTAATGAGTAAATGTGATTCCCTCCGTAATCCCCTGCTTTCCTTCCTCCCACTCTTCTGTTAGGCCTTTTCTCACTTACAAAGCCCTGTGCTTTTGTCATCACTACTGTCTTGGGGAGTGGCTAAAGAGGGATTAATACACTGTCTTTTGGAAAGTCTACAAGCAGGAAAGGGCTTACAGAGGTCATGAGAGTTCCTGAAGAGTGTGTGGAAAGTTTTCTCATGAGTTCAAAAATGACACGAGAACTCAAAGAGCATCAAAATCCTTAGTATCCCATTTAAAGCAAGCTTCACATCATGCTGCATTGCTTAATGAGCCACTCTGTAGCCATCTTTATGTAATAAAAGGATAGTAGTGATGGATGCCCAACAGGTTCAGACGAATACTGTGGAATTTCCACTTGCCACTAAATAAACGCTTGTGAAGTCTAGAGATCATAAGATGAAAGGCATTTTGTAAATTTTAAATGTGCAAGATCCAACCAGTCTTCTGTCCCCTCCTCTAGTCAGCACTAATCCTCCAAGAGAGAGAGGTGGATGAAAAGGCAGTATAGAATCTGAGGAAGTGTGGATCTAGGGCCTCCAGATTTTCCTAGGAGGCTGGTGGTTTAAAAGTCGGGAGCAGACAAAGGCAAAGTGCCAAGTCCAAAACTTGGAAAGGGAGCTGTGTTAGGGTGTGAGGAGACTCCACCTTGCTGTTTTAATTAGGAGACAGCAGGAAAGGCCAGGACTGTTCTTTCTTCCAAGTTCACCAAAGGAAAATCTGACACCAATTCTGTTCTTAGGAATTTTGAAATGAGTAGAGAATTCTTTGAACTCTGTAATCAACTAATTGGAAACTAATTTGAAATTTGGCATCAGCACAGATATTTGTGTTATAGGAAGGGGGGAAGCATCCAAAGGGGTGCTCCCTGTACTTCTCTTTTTAAAAGTTTACACACAGCATGTGAAATGAACAGATGCTTTTTTTTGTTGGAGCTGTCAGGGTAACAAGAAGTTGAAAGCTGTATCAGGTATTTATTTCAGTCACTGAGATGGCTATTGGCAGAGTTCCACATACCAAAACTAAGGAGAAACTCATGAACAGATTAAAAAAAAATAATAAGACATGGAGGAAAGAGACTTTGTGCCTCCTTTCCTTCTAAACACAAACTGATGATTTTACACAAGGAGCGAAGTACTTTTTGCGGGGGTGGAGGGGGCGGGATAATTGGCCAACTTTATGTAATCCTTTCCACAAGGCTGTGTTTGCATTTTGGGCTGTGTTTGAATTTTGGGGAGATTTATCTGTAATGGTCTCCTAATACACTAGTCAGAGAGTGTGACTTAAGCTGATAAGTAATTTGAATCTGAACTTCATAGTTGCTAAAATGCTCCACTTATTTATTTGTGTTATAATATGGAGCATTGGTGAGAGTGGTGAGAATAAGGTAGATAGGTGTGGGGAGGGATTAAGAAAAGACTGAACTGACTGGCACCTGCCTTGGTGAGGAAACAGGAAAGGAATTTCTGGCCATGAAGTTTGTGATTCCACATCAATATCATTCTTTATAATAGAATAACCACCCACTCTTAGTCCAGAGCCAGAATTGCTCAGATTCTTCCAACCAGAGGGCCCCTGGCACACTAAACAGTCTGTTATGATATCTCAACACATAAGTGAGTGTATTTGGCCAGGGAGATTTGCTAGTGAAATTGATCTTGCCTATCCTGGGTTTTTCCAGTTGTGCTTAATAATTAAAGGAAAATTAAAACCCAGATTCCCTGAAACGGAAAGTATCAGATCTGTAAGCTTATCAAGCCTTCCAGGCACATTGTGTTAGAGTTTGAAGGGACCTTAAAATTCATCTTGAGCAAACTGTTAGAGGAATTGTAAATCTCGTTCCCCAAATCTCTGCCAAGTGATTGCTTGAATTTCTGCTCAGACACCTCCAGGGTCAGAAAAGTCATCCCTTTAGGGGACACCCTATTCTTTGAACAGCTGTGAGAAAGCTCTTTGTTGGTTTGAAATCTGCCCTTGGATCTTAGTGTGCCAGCTTCAGTAGACATCCAGAACAAGCTAGCTTCCTCCCACTTCCCAGCCCTTTAGATACTTCATCATACTGCTTGGAAACTTCTCTAGGTCAAGCGTTCTTGGTTCTTTCTGCTGTTTGTTCCTCAGAGGACAGTGTTTCTAGTGTCTTGCAGTATAGGACCAGGAGGACTCAGGATTCTGGGGCAGCTCCTTTAACAGTTTTAGAACTAAAGAATATTCAAGTTAGAAAGGCTGTCAAGACACAATCTAGTCTGCACATCCTCCCTTTCAGTTACAGATAGAGTCTTCTGGATTTGAGTAGGCAGAAATTGATCAGCTTCAAAGTGAGAAATGAAGTGTAAGACATTTTGCCAGTCTTTTGGCTGCTTAATTCTGATCACAGGCTTCAGCTGACACCTCATTTTTGTCAAGGACCTCTCCGGCTCAAGTAAGCCTAAGGCTCAGCTCAGGGTTTCATTGCCAGATCTCCATACACCAACTACTGGCTTCACTTACTGTCTGTGTAAAGGACAGAAATAACTTTTCCGTAAGTTTTACCATCTGTATTGACCACTTGGTCAATTCAGTAATTTTAATAGACTTTTTTTCCTTCATAAAATCAGAAAATGACCATCACAAAGGGAGCCGCATATTACACCCCTTCAGATATGAAGCTGCCTCTGGTGGACAGTTTCGTGGGTTGCCCTTTGTACTTTCTTTGTTTAACGGTCACCAGATGACTAGATGGCTTTTCTTTTCTTTTTATAAATTTATTTATTTATTTTTGGCGACTTTGGGTCTTCGTTGCTGCGCACAGGCTTTTCTCTAGTTGCGGAGAGCAGGGACTACTCTTCGTTGCGGTGTGTGGGCTTCTCATTGCAGTGGCTTCTCTTGTTGTGGAGCACGGGCTCTAGGCGGACGGGCATCAGTAGTTGTGGCTCGCGGGGTTGTGGCTTGCGGACTCTAGAGCGCACGCTCAGTAGTTCTGACGCATGGGCTTAGTTGCTCCGCGGCGTGTGGGATCTTTCCGGACGAGGGCTCGAACCCGTGTCCCCTGCATTGGCCGGCAGATTCTTAACCACTGCGCCACCAGGAAAGTCCTAGATGGCTTTTCTAAAAGCCAAAAAGCTGTGGACGGGATTGTGGGCCACTTTTCTCTAGTATTTTCCATCTTGAGACTTGAAATACCCATGCTTTTTAGCTGGCCCCAGGGAGCTCACGTTTCCTTGGATGTGCCCAGCAATAAAGGAGCCCAGGTATTTGGGCTTGGGGCACTGCTGCCAGCATCTCCACCGTCGCGCGGCCCCCCAGTTCCCTACTCCTCAGTCATCAACACCATTCACATCTGTGGGCAAAGAAATCTTGGTGGGGGAATGGAACAAGACCTGACGTACGTGAGGCGCCGAAGAGAGAAGGTGCTGGAGTTTATCCAATAACTCGGTCCGAATTTAAGTGCCAGGTTTAAGGCTGGAGTGTTCTTGGGCCCGGCAGAGGCGCGCTAAAGGTGACATTGGAGGGACTAGGGACACCCCTTTGGCGGCAGAACCGAATCCGGGAGCGATGCGGGCGGCATCGCTACCCTGCCGGCAGATGGGGCCCAGAGTGGCCCTCGCCAGAGCCGGCTGGCTGGGGGGCGGCGGGAGCGCCCCTTCTGGGTTCGCTCGCCCTTGGGCTAGGAGCCCGGCGGGTTGGTACGCGGCGGGGGCAGCGGGGGCCCGGCCCCTGGCAGGAGGGCGGGGCTTTCCTTTGTCAGGGGATTTGCGCGGCGCGGCCGAGACTCACGCGGGTGTCGCTCCCCGCCCCTCGCCCTCTCGGGGGGCGGGGCTCTCCCTCCGGCCCGGCGGGGCGCGGTGGGTGTGGGCCTGTGAGCTGAGCGGCCGGCGCTGGGCTCCCTCGCCCGGAGCCGCGCAGAAGCCCCTCCTTCGGTGCCTCGGCTTCCAATCGCCTCCGCCGCCCCTCCCTCCCGCTCGGGCAGCTCCCCGTCGCGGCTCCGCCCCTGCCCTCCTCCCCTAGCTGTCCGCGTCGCGCTCCCCGGCGTCCAGTGGGGTTGCCCGGGCGGGGCGGCGCGGGGAAGGGGAGGGGAGCCTTCCGCCAGCCGAGCACTTCCAGCGAGCGGCGGGCGAGCGGGCCGCGCGGCGCGAGGGAGGAGGGCTCGCCCCCGCTCGGCCCGAGAGGAGCCTTTTGTTCCCAGCCAGAAGTTTGCATGCCGGGACCGTGACAGCTGCGGGCGGGGAGGACGGCGGGGCCGGCGGCGGCGGCGGAGAATAGAGGCGGCTGCTTGACATGCAGCCCGCGGCGCGGCGGCTGCGGGCCGGGGACTGGAGGCGGCGGGGGAGGCGGTGCCCACAGCATGCGGGACTCAGCGGCCGGAGGGACAAACTAACTTCCTGAGCGCGGGACCGGAGGCCGGCGCGGCCGGGAGCCACCTGCCAGCCTGCGGTGAGGCAACCCTGGCCCTCGGGGCTCGCGGCACGGCGCGGGGGAGCAGCGCTGAGCGAGCCCTTCCGAGTGACCCTCGGCCGCCGCTGCAGCCTGCCGGCCTCTGAAAGGCCCGGCGCCGGGCTCCACTCGCCTTGTTTGGCGGCCACGGCGCAGGGCTGTTCTGGGAGCCACAACAATGCCATGATGTTTTGGAGACAGGAAGCCCCAAGCTGGCCGCGAATGAAGGACTTCCTGTGTTTAAAGTTGCAGGAATATCCGCCGACCAGCCCAGTTCAAATGCAAACACCCGAAGTAGGGAGGACGAATGGCTAATTCAGACCAGCTGGACTCTCCAGGGCTGGAACTAAGGATAAAATGAAAGGAATTCCTAGGAGCTTGGGCCATACTTGAAGACCAGAGGGGCTGTGCCATTGTTATTAAAGGACACAATCGATATAAATCCTCTGCTTCCAACTCTGCTTGGGTGAGAAGTGAGTGGAACTAGATACTGAATAAGACTTGTCAATATCAGATGATTTTTTTAACTAAATTGGAAAGAGCAGTGCTCTTAAAAAAACAAAAAAGCCGTAGAAGGAATTATTTTGTTTGTTGAATACATTGTACCGTTTATTTGCCTGCAACTATGAGGCTGCTAACCTGTGAGGAAAAAGCTGTTCTTCTTAGAGCGTCTCTCAGAATGGTTTCAAAGTGGGACTTCCAGGCCTTTCTGGAGGGAAGTTCCAATTGGTGGTTTGAGGTTACGAACATGTAAAAGGATTTTTAACTTATGCAGAATGCATTTTGGGGGAACCCCTGAGAAACTTTTTAAAGGTTGATGGTTCATCTTGTTTGAAAAATATGGGTAAGCCACTCAGCAGGCCAGACTGTTTAAGGCAGAACCCCATCTGCCTGGGGAAAGGAGAGGAAGAGGATGGCTATATAGAGGATTGCTATGTTCCGCAGCGATCTATATATGATACAATGAGGATAAATGAACAAATTGACCAGGGGTCAAAGCTTAATCAGACTTCAAAAAGCACCATGGAAAAGATAGAAGGAAGTACTATATCCAGCAATGGTACATTGGGAGCAGCAGCTAATGTTTTTGAATCCAGAGCACCAGAAGGCAAAAAGTTGGATGAGAGAATAATATTTGATGCACTAAAGCTAAGCAGTGATGTGCAAAAGTCAGCACCTGTGCCACCCAGAAGGCGGCCAAATGCAGAACGCAAAGACAATGTTAACAGGAGATCATGGAAGTCCTTCATGCCACCGAATTTCCCAGAATTTGCGGAAAGGATGGAAGCTTCTCTCAGTGAGGTTTCCGAAGCTGGTGCTTCAAATCCTTGCTTGCAAGAGAAGAAGGAATCCAGTTCTGCATTAACAGAAAGTTCTGGTCATTTGGACCACAGGGAACCTCAGTCAGAGTCCGTAACTCTGGAACATGTGTCCAAATCCATAGGTATTCCAGAAGGGCAGGATGTGAAAACCTTAGGTGGAGATTGCCAAGACTTCAGATTTCAGCAGCACAGTGAGATCTCTCCCCGTGAATTCCAGCCTCTAGAGTCAGAAGCTGCAGCAGCAAGTGGTAACACAGATGTAACGCAGGAACACAGATTCTCAAGTGCAACCTGGCCCAGAGCCATGAAAAGTTTGGCTAAGGGAGGCTTTGGCGAGAAGCAGCACCCCCTTCAGGACACAGGTTGCACTGTAGAAATGCCACCTCTCTCCCCTTGCCTGAGTGAAGAGCTGTTGGATCCAGAGTTGCATATTCTCATAACCCCCAGCCTGAGAGAGAAAACAGAGTCTGAGCTAAAGTTTGAGGAGGATGAGCGATGGATCATGATGGAGGCTGAGGAGGAGTGGGAGGAAGAGAAACTGTCAGAGAGAGGAAAGACTTTTCTAATGGCAGATGAGGAAAAGAACAGCCTGGCAGATGTTTTCCAAGAAGGAGAGCAAGCAAACACTGTAGCAGTGGTGGAGGATGGAGCCGACTTCTCAGCTGCTGTCTTGGGGACTTTTGACCACCTAGCTCTTGGTCAGATCTGTTGTTCTGATGACCCACAGCCAGCTAAGAACCTTTTGGCGTCTGTTTTCAAGGATGCATCGCTTGAGTACAGTTGTGTCCTAACAGGTGAGAGTGCTGTAGGAGAACTGAGAAACAGAATTGCTCAGGGGCTAGAGGGTCTTGTTTCAGATTTAGAATGCACTGTTGGTCCTGCCGATTCAGAGCAGCTCTCTGACACAGATTCGGTGCAGATGTTTCTTGAACTTGAAAAGGAGTGTTTATGTGAAGAAGGAGTAACTCCTTTAGTTGAGCTGGAGACTCAAGCCTCTTCTGAAGGGCTGGCCCCATCCCAGGATGCAGAAAATTCACTTGTAATTAGTCATTTTCCAGGGGCTGCCTTAGAAAAGGAGCATGTAGGCCTTTTAAATGTAAGAGCAAAGGACTCTGATCCTGGGTTGGATTGTGACTATTTTAATGCCCTGGATTCTTCTCAGGTGCCTAATACTTTGGAACTTACTGCCTACTCTGATACCGTGAGGGACGCTTCCACTGTTAGTGAGGAGGAGGGTGAAAAAGTGCCTTTTAGCCCCGAGACTGCAGGGGAATTTAACTTTAGACACCCAGCTGATCTGGAGTCACCAGGAAAGCCAGACCCAGGAGGATTGTCCAACTCTGATCACAGGGCTTCTCGTGAAGAAAATGTATCAGGCTTTGAAGCCAAGCTGGCCAAAGAAAATGGCAGTTTGTCCCAGCTGGACTGTAGTGAAGTTGAGGGGAATGCTGAGGAGTGTGTGGACAGAGTCCCCCTCAGTTCTGCTGTTAGCTGTGAACTAATAGATGTTACCTCAGGATCTGAAGTAGAGGCGTTACCATATGATTCACATTTACTAACAGATGAGATTCATTGGGAAGGTGAGAAAGGAGCTGTTAATCAAGGAAATAACAGTCTGACTTCCTTGGGAGATGTGGACCTTTGTGAATTGTTGTCCGTGGAAGGAGCTTGTGATGAGGATGGTGACGCACAGGCACTGGGTTATGATGCCAGGCTGGAGGACCGAGCCCCAGCACATCTTCCTAGAGACCTCCCAGAGTGGGTCTCCCAGGATCTCCAGAGGAAGTCCCCAGAGTCAGAGATCCTGAGTCTGCACCTGCAGGTTGGAGGACTGGGACATAGCAGAGATGGAGTGGAAACTGTGAATGACCTAAAGCCCAAGCTGAATGTGGCCTCATTGGAGGGAGGGGAAACAGAAATGAGAGATTCAGATTCATTGCTAAATATCCTTCTGGAGGAACAAGTTACCAAGGCTAGTAATACGGAACCAGTTTTGGAGGAATGGATACCCATCCCACAGAAGCCTGACCCAACTGCTGCAGTGCCCACCGTAGAAGAAGATGCCCTAGATGCTGCAGTGCCTGCCCCAGAGGGAACTGCTGTAGCTGCTCTTACAGTGCCCTTCCCAGAGGAGGGTATACCTGTTGTTCCAGTGGCTACCATGGAGGCACATGTCCCAGCTGCTGCAGTATCAGCCACAGAGAGGGCTGCTGCCCCAGCTGTTGCAGTGCCTGCTCCTGAGGGGACTGCTCCACCTGCTTCAGTGGCCATCACAGAGGAGGATGTACTAGCTGTTGCAGAATCCTCCCTGGAGGGGACTGCTCCAGCTGCTGCATTGCCCACCCCAGAGGAGCCTGCTGCCCCAGCTGCTGCAGTGCCCACCACAGGGGAGCTTGCAGCTCCCACTACTGTGGTGCCCACCCCAGAGGAGCCTGCCGCCCCAGCTGCTGCAGTGCCCACCCGAGAGGAGCCTGCAGCTCCCACTGCTGTGGTGCCCACCCCAGAGGAGGCTGCCACCCCAGTTGCTGCAGTGCCCACCCCAGGGGAGTTTGCAGCCCTAGCTGCTGCAGTGTGCACCCCAGAGGAGTCTCTAGCCCCAGCTGCTGCAGTGCCCACCCCAGGGGAGTTTGCAGCCCTAGCTGCTACAGTGTCCACCCCAGAGGAGCCTGCTGCCCCAGCTGCTGCAGTGCCCACCCCAGGGGAGTTTGCAGCCCCAGCTGCTGCAGTGTCCACGCCAGAGGAGCCTGCCGCCCCCACTACTGCAGTGCCCACCCCAGGGGAGCCTGCCATCCCCGCTGCTGCAGTGCCCACCCCAGTGGAGCCTGCCGCACCCGCTGCTGCAGTGCCCACCCCAGGGGAGCCTGCCGCCCCAGCTGCTGCAGTACCCACCCCAGGGGAGCCTGCAGCCCCAGCTGCTGCAGTGCCCACCCCAGGGGAGCCTGCTGCCCCTACTACTGCAGTGCCCACCCCAGGGGAGCCTGCTGCCCCTACTACTGCAGTG